TATTCGCACATAACTAAAAAAAACGGCGTGAAAATAATCAATCCATACGCAGGTTTTAAACTGGAAACATTCTGAGACCGAACGACAACACAATGACGAAAATCTATACTATGAGTAAAAATCAAACACCGATCTACTCTTACAAAAGTAACCGTTACACCTGAACGCACGGTATCGAAACGTGATATAAATTTTGGTGTTTCGTTACTAAGAAACCGTAGCTTCCAGATTTATTTATTTCTTTTAGGATTTGGAAACAGAAGGTGATTTAACTTCTAGCGCCCCTTTAGCTGCCGACGAGGAAACCAGTTTCCGTATTACATAAATGAGCACTTTCTAAGATAACCGTTCCTTTTGCTATTTAGGTAGTAAGGTTACACAAGATAATCGTTACAAGGAAGATATAAAATTCAGGATAGCGCAGGTTAAAAAAGCATTGGAATAAAAGTGGGACCTGCTAAGACCCGAGATAAATATAGGAATTAGGAAAAGATTGCTAAAAACGTACAAATGGAGTGTAGGTCATACAGGTGCGAAACCTGGACGATAAGCAGGCAAAAGTAGGATAGAATGAGGATTAGCTGGAGGGATAGGATAACAAACGAAGCAGTCTTGGAGCTAGTACAGGAAATAGGGAAATGTTGAAAACCGTACAGAGAAGACGAGATACAATGATAGCGAACGTGCTAAGACACGGAGGAATAGCACTACTAGCTATAGAAAGTAGGGCAGAGGGCAAGACCGGACCAGAGAGGACAAGCAAGGACCACAGATACTTAAACACATAGACCAAATAGTTAAGGACGTAGGCAAGGGTATAGTTATGTAGAACTGAAAAGATTAGCGCAGGATAGGAAAAGGTCGAGGACTTCGCCCAACCAATCCTAGGATTGCGCAAACAAAACAACAAATGCCGAAAACGTGAAAAATCCAGGTTGGGGGGTGATTTTCATAAAAAAGTTCGAATTTCCAAGGGCTTCTTTATGTGCCGAATTATGTTTTTACTCCAAAAGTCCAAATACACTTTAAAACAAACATTTTGACACATTAGCAACGAGAATCAGACCATTGGTTCATTAGTTTTGCTCAAAACTCGAGAAATCGAGTTTAGGGGTACTTTTTCAATATGGTGTCCGTTCCCCAACCGAGATCTTTTGGGACTTTGCGGAAATTGGTTCTGGCACTATCCTGAACATGTCCGCCAATTTTCAGCTTGTTTTTTCAAATTTCCGGGTTTGGACCTTATTTTGTCTAATTTGACTGGACTAATTGGAAAAATAAAACCCCCATCTTTTTCAATAATCTGTGATGCCATGGAATTTTATAATACAAAAACTACGCCAATATCCGTCATGCCATGAAATGTCTGCTATAAAACAAATCCAATTCTATCAAAAAGTATTATATTTAGAACAGCGAATTCAACATAAAGACCAAATTACTAAAAACGGTTTACCCAATATAACAATTTACAATAAATGTTTGAATAAACCACCATTCACTGCAAGACAGTAACCAAATTTGACAACTGGATATCTTTTTGTTTTAGAAAATCGCCGATTATTGAAAAAGATGCGGGTTTTATTTTGCCAATTTTCCGTCTTTATATGAAAAAAATTGAAAACTAATATGGTGGTTTGGCGTAAAAAAATTTTTTCTACAAAAAACTTTAATACATTTTTGCTCTAAAAGAATTTGGGGAGCCAATAATCGCATGTTATGAATTTTATTTGATACTCAGTTGTAAACGTTGATTAACAAGACAAAACGCAAACGGGTAAACGTAATGTTTAAACGCTACTGACTTGTAAAACTGACAGCAGACCTGTAAAAATTTTACAAGTTAGTAATCTATATATATAGTAATTTCATTGGCCAGAATTAATGCGAAGTCTCTGTTACATGGATCACATGATATTTTAGACATTTCTTCAAGATCAATTAAGAACTAATTATTTACGTTTACTATTGTTTACAAATGAGTAACAAATAAAATATTGTACATTATACGCCAGGTAATAGTTTTTACGGGCTCTAGGAGATGACAGGCTCGCCTAACGGCTCGCCAGTCAACTTCTCCTATCGCCAGTAAAAACTCACTTACCTGGCTAATAATGTAAAATACTATTAAATTGAAATCCCTATGATGCGTTACGCAAGGCTATTTTGAAAAAAAAATTCAATTCTGTATTAAAAAATTACATATTCACTTTCAATTTATTAATATGGTAAATAACATTGAATGTATTTGATCAGATCTGATATTAGTTTTTTTTTGTTTTACCAAAGGGATAAAATTCGTTAAGCCGCTTGTGAACAAGAGGAGAAGAATGCACTTTCAAATTTGTTTTTTCGATTTTAATAGTCCTTATGGACATCTAGTGCCTTAACGAGAATACAAACATGAAATAATGTTTAATTTCTGATCGAATGACACCAATACCAAGTCTGTAAGTGGTGTAGTTCCGGAACCGCTGTGACGCAGACAGACGGACATAAAAGAAGTGCAAAAGTGCACTTCTTATTTTTTGAAAGTAAAAGTGTACCTACCAAAAACAAGTACTTTTTGTTCTGGGCATTACTTGCACACATTGATTTCTTCGCTTAATTGGTTCCCACACGTTGACAGCTCTTCGACTCCCATTCAGATTGTAATATCTTGAAATCTTGAAAGCATGATTGTGATTTGTGGAGAACTTATGACGAATGTAGAATTTTTCTTCCTCAATATTACATTACTTGGAATATTTATGGCCATCCTAAAAACGGCCGGCACATCTGAACAGATCGTTTCATCTTAAGGTGATCAAGTCATAATTGAGGAAGAGATCTGCCAAGCACATTCTTCACTAGGCGTAATTGACAAACCACTTGATATTGTGTTTTCATGGTTTCTTGAGCGGAGGTCTAGGCTACGATTAAAATCTAAACCCCACCTGCAAAGTGTTAATTAACATTGTGATGTCTGCATGGTGCATGGTGTTAAGGTGGGCTACAAACTACACCTACGTATAAAAATTGCATGTTCTATCTATAGAAGAGATTAGAAAGTTTTACGTCACTTTACCGAGTAAAAAACTTCTACAAATTTACACATACTTCCAGATATTACTAGATATTACCACATTTGATATCATATAAGCACAGACTTGCTCCTTCTTCAAAGTCTAAAAATCATTTTTAATGTAAATATGGCTATACTTATAGGAGTACTAACGTAGGTTGTTTTAAATACACACAAGGTTTTGAAAACAGTAATGTGTTACCACGTGGATTGTTATCTCTTAAAAAAAGATTACTAACAAACTCATCAAAAACTGGTATAAGGAGGTACAAATAAAACTTATCTCGACCTCCTGCAAAGCAAACAACATGCTATAATCGCTATAGATCACATACGTCGGTCGAAGGTCACAAAACTCGTGTATTACTGGTTTTATGATAGTCATTGAGACATACTTGTGAAATTTCCACCATTCGGTTCTAGTTCCAAAGGTTGCAGATTGGAGACTGCAAAAGTTTAAACGATGACTCCAGAGATTGTATATTTACTACCAGTATGTAATCTCAAATGACCTCAATAATGTTAAAATACTTCCACATTTCTCAACGTCATTCGCACAACAGTGATTGTTTGTATCCTTTTAGTAAGTTGACATATTGATGCGTCGTCTGTACTGTGCATGTATTTCCTAATTGAGCATCAGACAATATTTGTTGGCACACTCTGATAACAAACCAAATAGAAGGATGTTAGCAAATGCTCGGCAGATCACGTACTCATCTCTTGACACTATGTTCAACTTGTGCACGTTTTATCGTCATCGATTTGTAAATTAAAATCCATGGCCAAACACTCTTGACGTTCAGGCTGGGATACTCATACCTGAAATTGGAAGTGACTTACAAAACGCAAGCTGCTTTAAAAGAGAAATCTAAAGATGTTGGCTGTGAGCACATTACAAATGTGTGTGAAAATTACCTTGTTCAAATACTAAGAAACTGTATGAATGAATCCATACACTGGGGAAATTGTATTCCCTTCATTAGTCTAACAATTTCAAAAAGAGATTTTAATTATATACAGATTTACCATACGAAACCTAAGGTAGACAAGTATGTTATGATGTGGGAATTTGTGGTCACACCAGAAAATATTTTTAATTTCTTGTTGTTTTCTTAATAAAAGTTAACCAATTATTACCCAATGGTAACTTTTCACGTAATCTACGAAGTTTAATTAAAAAAATGTCCCGCTGGTATTGCAATTTACATATCTCCAACTATACTTAAAAAAGCAAATGCGTATTTACCTACGCATCTAAAAGGTTTTTCAGTACTGTGTAAAACACCAATTCTTCCATTTATTATCTAGACATAAACGCGTTAATTTTACTGTTTCCAATAAACTCTATTACCTATATCCCATTCCACATTAAGATTTGTATTTTTCCTTTCATAATCTAATGAGAAACTGTAACAAAAAATTCCGTGGCAAAGCTTTTCTAACATTAAGGAAAACTACTACCTTGCAATTAGGTAGGTATGTAATGGAATTTTAATTTTAAAAATTACTACAAATCGTCAGCACTATCCCCAATTAAGCAAAATTATTTTCAAAATTGACCATATGGATATTTATATACACGAATTATGATAGCGATTAAGTGGACTGTGGTTATCAATAACTACTTTAAACTAGTTTAATGGCAAGTAATGTTTATAATCATCACGTTATCAGCGGCCCATTGACCATAAAAATTTCACAACCGGATCTTTCCAGTTACTGTTGACTTTAGTACAAGTATATGCTCTCACGAACAAAATCCATGTGTACCCCCCAATGACTAAACTTAAAACAGGACGACTACATCTAATTCAAGGAAGAGAGAATGAGATAAAAGATTTTATCTTGTTTTGGTGTTAATATACAAAAATAGAGTGAGCACTTTATCTTAATGTAACCACAGTAAAATGTAATACTGTGATTATCGAGTTAGAAGAAGATAGAGTATGACACTCCATATATATATACCGAGATAATTATTCACAATAATTTAGTTGCATTTTGACGTTTCTTTATAATCTTTGTGATGATTGTTTATAATCATAGGATGTTGGAGGGCGATCCACTCCAGTATTACACAACAGGATTGTCCATTCCTGCACAGCCCAGCTACTTTTCATACTTCAACCGGTTTCAAAGTTACGATCATTTAAACATGTCTGAAGAATTATTAATGCCACACTCACCAAACGGCTCTCAGGTTTGTTAAATTTCTTTAAGAAATTTCCAGACGTTTAAATTCTTCCTTATACAGAGTGATAGCGACAACTCTATTTCAAGCTTAGAACCTTTTCCAAAGGACAGCAAACTATCGATCATTAAGAAAAGTGAACAAGTTCAATGTTGCTGGTCATCATGTGGAATCATTTTTGAATCTCTGGACCAACTGGCAATTCACGTTAGCAGAGTGCACTCGGCCAGCGGACCAGGTGGGCTATTCTATTGTGGATGGAAAGGTTGTACAAGAAATAATAAAGGATTTAATGCGAGGTAAACAAACTATATAAGTCTATTAAATCGGTTCTAATAAGAATTTATGCAGGTACAAAATGTTGGTGCACGTTCGAACACACACCAATGAAAAACCTCACCATTGTTATCAGTGTGATAAATCGTTTTCACGCGCCGAGAATTTGAAGATACATTCACGATCTCACAGTGGGGAGAAACCCTACGTTTGTCCAGTACCCGGTTGTCACAAAGCATATTCAAATTCAAGCGATCGATTTAAGCACACAAGGACACATCAGGTCGATAAACCGTACCAATGTAAGGTTCCCGGTTGTCCTAAAAGATACACGGATCCTAGCAGTTTAAGAAAGCATGTGAAAACGTATAAACACTTTGTGAGCGAAAATGGAGTTAGTGCAGTCAATATAAAAACCAGTGTCATTGTTACAAACAAAAAGGTAGAGTCACATTTAGGTGCAATAAATGAATCATGCGATTCACTGTGCACTTGCAAACACTTATGCTGTGCATCAAAAGACAGTGGGGTTTTAAAACTGGATGGTTATATTAATATACGAAATAACCACAATACATCAACGTGGAACAAAACCGCTTTTATTCCTGAACCAAAACTATTCAGGCCATATCAAATCGACGATAAAATGGAGATTGATCTCCCTCTAGATTTAAGTATAGCACGTAGACACATTTAGTTCTTAATTATTCATTATTTATTTAAAGTATTTAACAAAAACGTATTATTTGTTTGTTTGGTTTTTTTACAAGACATTTAGTAGATTGTGATAAATAAAGTACTTATAATAAATGATCGTTTATTAACCATAAAAAATTACAAATCTCTTTGACCCTCGTAAATTTGCGAAGTAGTCACTCACTTTTTTATTATTTTTTCCAATCCTTCAGAAATCACTTTTAGACTTTTCAAATCCGAATTAATTATCTTAATCAGTTGGGCAATTCCATTTTGTTCCATTTTGAGAAATTGTTTTATGTCTTCTTGCACTTGAGCATCCATTTGGTACCGTTGATTAAGTGACGATTCCGGAATTTCATATAATTCAACACAGCAGCGAAGCTCTTGTAGTTGCCCCTAAAAAGTTCAAATTCAAGTTATTAATGTAATGTGAATCTTAATTAAAGCTTACATTGGCGAATTAAAGAAAAGATTTACTATTATTTCTGGTATAATTGCGGGTGTAAAAAACTTAATCACAAACAAGAAAAAGGTCGTAGTTCACAAAATGAGCACAGAATATGCTTTACGATAAAAGTGCCTAACGAACTCCTCGATCTGATAGGGCTGAGGCCACAACCCCAAAAACATGAAACAGCACGATAGAGCAAGTGATCCATCTTTGAAAAGACCTCCCTTCTCACCATTTAGAACTGTATTAATGGTACAGTAAACTGAGTCAAGGCCGTTTCTCAATAACCAAAAAAAGAAAGTTCATAATTTAAAAAATCCCCTGACATAATGTTATTCACTACAATCCGAACTTATCCAAGACAATTAAGACTTGTCTAAAAAGATTCAGATGTAGCAACCCTACATAGACACCAGGGAAATAACTCTTATTGATTTGGAGGATTGGCCGCTACCATTGGATTGGATTAGACTTTAATTTACTATACAGCAAGATGTTATCTTTGTTTTACATTCCAGTTTTTTTCAGCGCATTTTCTAACTCACGTGGCAAGGCGCTATCACGATCATTTCTCCATCCGTTTGAGGCTTTAAATACTACTACAGTTTTCAATGTAACTAGTTAGTTCGTTTATTTTTACATTCGGTATAGCTTATAGCTCTGGCACCTCAACCAAGAAAAATCTTGACGATTAATGTGCGCATGTGCACTCTGCGCAATGTCAACTTTCTTATTTATGGAAATATTTCTTTAAAATTGTAACCACAGAAAGGCGAAAACTTTGTTACATTTTTTAGTCAATGTCATCGTAGAGGTTACTAAAATGCTTTTAAGTCTCCGCTAGAATGAGCATATTTTGCACAAATACCACCAAAAATGGGGTATTTTACGTTGTGTCTTCACTTTTGTTGTATTAACTATCTTCGGCGTAATTTTTTTGGTTGCATTTATTTGCTTTTATTAAAAGAACCAACCATTAAAATTTAAATCAAATTACTCCCCAAATAGGAAAGTTGTCTACTGGGGATGCGCAGTACGATTTTCGGAACGCCCGGTTCATTTGCTTACAGCAGAAATCAATTTTGGTACGAATATTTTTGTGTTTTGGGAATATACAATGAGACTTAAAAAAAATTCTATTAAATTCGTTGTCGCGTTTGATGTGACGCGCAAACTGTCTCTAGTTACCATTTAAAAATCAATGCATTTTTTCGATATCAATGTTTGAGGCCCAAAAAAAGGTCATTTAGTAGAGACCTCAAATCTCCGCTAAACTTTCTCACTCAATCTCGTTTAACGTCGAAAAATTTTGAATTTTGACGAAACCTTCTGTGACATGTTCTTTGTGATAAACCGATATGTCGGTCGATCAAATCAGCACTTTTTTTTAAATTTTTAAGAGGTATATTTGTTTATTGGAAATATAACCTATATAAAGTGAAAATTTCAATTCAGATCGTCGTCTCCGGATGTGCACATAAATGGGGTTTGATATTTCATGGTTGATTATTCTCTTTGAACTGCCTTCAATGTATAATCGCCTACAATTCAATGCGACTTTTAGGTAATATTGACATCTAAGCCAAAAAAAGGTCACGTTAAAAAAGGGACGTTACATCGTTGTCAAACATCCGCACTCAGTAATTTTATTAATTTGGTTTTCACAATACATATGCTCGGCTCCGCCGCCTCAGCTCACTCGGTTTAGTTCATTAAATCACATGTTTAAAAGTGGAGTATTTTGAAATATCTTATCATCGACGCCAGGTAAACACACCTTTTAATTGTCCCTAACCTAAAAATGATTTCAGATGGTAACATTCTACTTCTGCTTAAAAATTTATATCACGACAACCGTATGTGCTGTGGGAATGGATCGCATATCTTTGGAAAGGCAAACCTTGTCGCCCAACCTACCATAAAATTTCCTTCAAGTTGCATGTTGCGTATGCGCAGCGAGATTTTTGAGGCGTGCCTTTTGTGTACTTTTATTAGAGGGACCACAAAAATTTCGTTCAAATTGTTCCATAAATAAGAAAGTTTTCTATTGCGCATGCGCAGTACAATTTTTTCCATATATCTTTTGTTAAGTTTTTATTAGAGGGAACTACCATAAAAATTGGAATCAAATTGCTCCATAAATAGGAAAGTTGCGTTTTGGGCTTGCGCAGTACGATGTTTGGAGCGTGCCTTTTAATTTTATGAATACGAAATATACGCAAAAACCGCATCGTTCCAGTCCTCAGCGTTTCCGAATATACTCCAAAATATGAAAAAGTGCCATTTATAAGCAGGGGGTGGGGGAGTGGAAATTTGTTGTGGAGTCGGAGGGTACGAATACGAAACCAAAGTAAAAAGAGACAGCTTTCTAACTTAGCGTTTCCCAATAAACGTCAAAACGGTGAAAAAGTATTGTTAGGTGGTCCGGGGGTGGGGGGAGGCTAGTGGAGTAGCGCGAGGGTGCGAAAAAAGCGTCGGAGGAAAGACGGCGACGACTTCCTAAAAACTTATGCTCCGTGATGCCACTCGACTGCTGCAAATATTTTTTACAGGCGATTATTCAGTATCTTCATATTTCATCGACTTTTCGTTCAAAAATTCAAATCTAGTGCAATACACAGAGGAACGCTGATTTTCTTCTACTAAGACGAAATTGTTCTTATTTTCCTACTAAAACGAAATCTATCCAGCGCCTGTTCTCGATCGAGAAATGTGGAATTTTGACACACCTACAAAGCAGCAGACAACAATCAATTACGCCAAGGTTTCACAGGGTTTTCTGGGCTTCAGAATGATCATAGCTTCTCAATAAAACACCTTTTAAATAAACTGCTCATCAAAAACAGCCCCCGTTCAGTCTCTTCACCTGTTACCCGTTAGCAGTTCCACTTATCAGTTACCTAGCTGTTTAGTTTCCATTTCTCTAGTAAGTACATTTTTTACGACAATTTCATGCTGACACACTTAGCCAAAGAAATAATACCTGCTGATATCACGTAGATGTACGGTTCTAAGGGTGAGGTTCCCGAATTAAATGCTCCTTTTTTTTTTAAATTATTACATGGTCTGCCAGGTTCATAATTTAAAAAAAAAGGAGCATTTAATTCGGGAATAGAACACTTAATTAGCACCTAATTATGCAATCTGTTTGATTGTGTTCTGCTGACCTTGCTCTGCTAGGTTAATGGACGTTAAGGCGTGTCCACATTTGCAACATTGTCCTGCCCCGAACCGCGCCACACTAGTGTGGATGACCCAACAAACTACATCACGAACCCGATGAGGTTGAAATCGAGGTTCGCCGCGATGCATGAGTTGTGGGCTAGGTTGTGGGTTTTTCGACGATACATCAAAGAGAAAATTGTGGCGCGCTTGTACTATAGCGCGTTCGCACCTCCAGATGCAGTATGGTGCTTATGGACATACAGTACATGCTTGCCAAACGAGACAATGGTAGCACAAGAAGATTATGTTTTGTTTTAATACTTCAATTTAATCATATGTCAATTTGACATCAATGCGGTCAGAAACAAGGATAGTATTATCGAAGAATGACGCAAACTGATAAGAGAGACAATTAGTCCATAAGACCCCATACTGCATCTGGAGATGCGAACGCGCTATAGTGTGTATATGATGTCGACAAAATTAAAGTGTAGTGTGGTTCGAAACGAATAGGATATATTTAGAATTGAAGGATTGCATATGAGCAGGAGGAGGTCACCTATAACCCGAAAACAATAAACGCTTTGTTCTCAAACATAACAATGTTGTTTGAGCTGAGGGAGAACATACACCCCTCCGACCTTGACTACCTATGCGCATATGGGAATTGCAATGTGAGCTAGGAACCAACTAATAAGAAGCCAGGATTTTCCTCTTCGTTTGACCTTTAGTGACAACCACGATGACTTTCAGTTACATTAGTTCAACCTTGAAATTAGCGCATGCGCAGAACTCAAGGTCAAAGTGGTCCCTGATCGACCTTGCTTAACTACTATAAAAGTAAGCTTTTCCCCCCCCCCCCCCCATCCCAACAAACTTGTAGGCAGGCTAGGGTTCCCATATGTATTACGCAGGCCAGTTGATGAATAAGTTTCATAGAGAACATCTTTTTTAAGCAATAAAACCACATGAGACGTTCATTATAAACCCGGGATGTCTTTACGATACCTTTAATAATTACAGAATAAAAAGGAATAAAATTTTCAATTCAGAAAAATCAAAAACTTACCTACCCAGAAATTCGCACAAAAATGACCATTACAACAGCAAGTTAACAAAAATGAATACCACTTACTTTAAACTGTGTTGGTAAGCCCAACTGTGTGGTAATCATCTCTAATCTTCCTCTCAACATTTCTTCTTCTGGCTGTATTGCCATCCCCACTTTACGGGTCACTTCTTGTTTTATAATGATCTGTAAGGAGTTTTCAACAATTATCATTATTACTTCCATTTTTGTACGAGCCCTAACACATAAATGTTCGGACATCTAGCATTTTTAAAATAAAACCGAAAAAAAAAATAAAACCAATCCAATGTCAATAAAGCCGAAAATATCTTGTATAGAAATATGTATTATAAGTTTATTGTTTATGTTTAATACCAAAAAACAATTTTTTTAATGCTCTCACAACATGAAAATAGGAAAACCAGCGAAATTAACTGACACATAAATGTTCGGACACCACATATATTTGATAGTTTGATTTAGGTAACAGAATAAAAACAACAAAAATTATAATTTTTATAACTTGTGAGCACACTTTGACATGTTGTTAAAAGAAAAATGGCACATGGCAAAGCGACACTGAAAGAAATTAGACAATTAATAATAAAATGGGTTCATAAGGGAATCCTTTAGGACAATAGGTCAGGAATTCACTTTGCCCATGTCCACAGTGCTAGACATTGTAACAAAGTATATGGGAAAACAGCATCAATCGAAGTTGCAGGAAACAACACAGGAAGACGGCCAACAGTTACCCCTAGAATGCAGGAAGCGCTGATAACCATTTGCAAATCTGGACGAAGAGACACAGTACGGAATCTTACGGTAAAATGGAAGGAAGTAACAAATGCTCATCTTTCTAGCTAAACCTGTCGAAGGTGGATCCACAAATCAGGTTTACATTTTTATAAAGTAAGTTGATCTTTAGGTTAAAATTATTGAGCATTAGAAAATACTTTTTTAAATAGGCGAAAGAAAAACATTTTTAAAACACAAAAATAATAAAGAAGAGGTTGGCTTGGGTTCGGGAACGGCAGGCGTGATCTTACCAAGACTGGAAAAAAATCATTTTTAGTAATGAATCTCGATTTGATGTCAATGTAGGCGATAATCGAGAAAGAGTTATCGGAACGGAAAACAAAGCATGTCACAAAGATTAAAAGCGTTCTGTAAAATTCCCCAGTGGTATAACGGTGTGGGGCAGTATGTCTGCAAATGGGCTGGGACAATTGCACTTACAAATGGTAATGTTTATGCTCAGAAATATCAAGCAATTTTAGAACAAAGTTGATTGCCTTCACTTGCGACATTATCACCTGATGCAGACTTTGTTTTTCAACAAGACGGAGCATCATGTCACAGGAAAAAACGACTAAGAAATGGTTATAAGACCACAATAATAGTGTTTTAGAGGTGCCCTCAAGCAGTCCAGATCTCAATGTCATTGAGACAGTGTGACAAAATGAAGCAACGTATTGCTTCTTTGAGTGAAAAGTTACAAGAGATTTGGGATACCTTTGGCATCGATCAATGTAAAGTTCTTATGACGACCATGCCTACACGAATCCAAGCTGTTATTAAAGCCAAAGAGGATGCAACCCATTGTTAAGGGGTGGTGTCCGAACATTTTTGTGTCACTTTAAATTCTAATTTTATGGTGTTTTGTGTTATTTGACAGTTGAAATTAATTAATTTTGCAACAAAATATAAAATTACAGTTACTAAACATGTTTAATTTATAACTATAGTAAGAAAAAAAAATAAATAAACATACAATGATTTTTAAGTTACAACATTTTTAAAATTTTGAGTGTTCGAACATTTATGTGTTAGGGCTCGTAGACCTACCTGTAGCAGACGATGATATAATTGGGCATACTTTTGTTTTAAATCATTAATTTTCGCGACCGAATTAACGTGCCGTTTTTTCAATTCAACAATATCGTTGCCAACCTGGTTTAGATATCCTTGATGGAGTTTGGTTTCATACTGTTGACATAATAAACGTTTTTTAAGATCGGAATAGCCGTTCAACGGCGTCGGCATAAATTTTGACGGATTTGGATTATCTGTCTGCGCCGCTTGCCACATTTGTGGTTCGACCCCTTAAATAAAAGAAATCAAGCGAGAAAATTATTGTTTCGGATTTGTTACCAGCGGGTGGGTTCTTTAAGTATTCTTGGAGCTGTGATTTAGTTGGGGTGACGTAAGCACCAATGTAAGTCACGCCAACATTAGTAAGTTGTTGTTTCTGAGTTGGTTGGTTTAAAAACGCACAGAGATCTGTGGCGGGTATTTTTCTGCTTGACCCGGTGACGCCCTTTTCAGAAACGGAAAACATAATTTCACTTTGGTTATCCGATATAGCTTTTATAGATTCAATTGTGACGGTTAAATTAGGTTTGTTTCCCAAAATACTAAGAATCCCATTTGTTAAAACTTCTTTTTGGTTGCTGTAACATTATTTTGCAACGCATGAAGCCAATACTTACACTTACCTTAACTCTGACTCCTTTTTACTGAATATTAACTTAACCAATCCACTACTGTTGTCCTCGCCTGGTACAGTGACATAACCAACAGTTTTGAATCGATACAAAGGGTTAGTAGAATTATACTCAATCGGAGGTTGAGATGCATTATAAAAAGCTTTCCCCGTTCCCCAGCAAGCTTGCAACATATTCCACTTCTTAAGGACAACATCGCGCTCATCTGAGAAAATATTGATGGCGTAAAACGAAGCTAAAATTTGCTGAAGGTGTTGTGGCTGGGAACCTAGAAGCATCTATAACCTCATTTACTTCTATGACAAAATTTCGTACCGACAGCTCCAGGAGGCCTAATACCCGCGAAATTAGTACTAGTACCCCAGCTTGGTGTAGTAGATGTTGCTGCACCAAAGCCGGTAAATCCGGTAGTGCCAGTCCCAAAACCGGCAAATGTATTTGTAGTTGTGGCCGGTTTCCCGAAACCACCAAATAATGAAGAGGCCGAAGTTGTTGATGTACTTCCAAAACCAAACCCCGTATTTGGCGCTGCGGTTGTACCCAAACCAAATCCTGTTGTACCAGCTCCACCGAATAAGCTGGGTGTTGTGGTTGTTGCGCCGAAAGACGTGTTAAATAAAGACGGAGCCGAGGAAGTCGCACCAAATAAATTCGTTGTGCCCGCCGTCGCTGTGTTACCAAATAACGTTGGAGCTTGAGTGGCAGCGGTTGCGCCAAACAGTGAAGGAGCAGTGGCAGGAGCTCCGAATAAACTGGACGCTGTAGTTGCAGGAGTCGACCCAAATAGACTAGGTTTGGTTACCGCCGGAGTACCGAAAAGATTTGGTACTGCGGATCCCGTTGCACCGAAACTGGTACCAAATGCTGGTGCAGTGGATGTAGCGGTTCCAAAAGCGCTACCAAACGCAGGTGCGCTGGTTGCGGCTGTTCCGAATGTACTACCAAAAGCAGGCGCAGGCGCGGTTGCGGTTCCAAAAGTGCCAAAACCGGCGGATGTTGCGGCCGTACCGAATGTTGATCCAAAAGCTGGTGTTGATGTCTGTCCAAATGTACTTCCGAAGGCAGGAGCCGGAGCGGCGGCGGCCGGTTGACCAAAAGTCGATCCAAATCCTGTTGGTTGGGAGGGTGTTGCTCCAAATGCGGTTGGTTGAGTGGCAGGTGTGCCGAAAGCCGGTTGCTGGGCGGTTGAACCAAAAGTGTTTCCAAAGCCTCCAAATCCCGTTTGTGGAGCCGTTGCTGGTGTTCCAAATGACAGTGGAGTTCCATAAGCTGTCGCTGATTAACAAATCACGTCCATTAAACTACTATGTATAATAATGGGCAGGTTCGAAATTTTTTAATTTTAACTAAAATCGAGAGATTTTGTTATTAAAAAACCATCAGAAAAAAATTGGGTGCTAAATATTGATATTTACGTCCGATGTAAGCACTTTAAAATCAAGGGTCGGCGCGAAGCAAGAAAACGTACCTGTGCGCGTGACTACTCCGCGTGACGTCAGTAGGCAGAAACATTTGCCGCCGTGCTGGCAAAGTATACGAATGTTTCTGGCGTCTGACGTCACGCGAGGTAGTCTCGCGCACAGGTACGTTTTCTTGCTTCGCGCCGACCCTTGATTTTAAAGTGCTTACAGCGGACATAAATATCAATATTTTGAACTCAATTTTTTTCTGATCGTTTTTAAATAACAAAACCTCTCGATTTTAGTTAAAATAAAACAAATACCAAACATGTCGAACCTACCTATTGCTAAATATGGTTAATTAAAAGTTACTTTAAACGTATTAGAAAATTGACTAAAGAATAAAATTGCTTGTGTTGTGACTGCATAGAAGTGTCAAAATTGTCTACAGCTTCAAATCAGCCTGCTACATTCCTCAAAATATTCTGTTTTAGTCAACTTTACTCAGCGAAAAAAATTATGACACAAGAGGTTCATAGGCGAGTGAATCTAATCACGTAACTTTACGCCCATTGTACAAGCGTTTAAAAAATAATTGGTTCTGCGCATGAGCATACTACTGCACTTTTGACACGTGTATTAAATTCCGAGTCTATTAAAGTTTGCTTCACGTAGAGACGCTTTTACTACATTTACTTTATAGCTTTGTCTGTAAATGAATTAAAAATACATAATACCAAATGCAATTACACCTAACTGGTGGATTTAATTGCTTAACTGCTATTGTTATTTATTTTAGTATGGATCGGAATTTTGGCAATTGGCCGGGGTGCAAGATAAAAAGGAATTTGTTAATACTTAATCTGATTTTTCTATTATTTTTTAATTATTGAATTCAATGACTTTCCTGATTTTGAATTTGGGTCATTGTGGAATTGTATGTGCACCAAATTAAGTCTAAATTTTATGAATGTTCATTTCTCGTCTTTGAATTTTTACGAAAGCTTCATGAATCGCGTTGAAATTGTGAACCATAATTTTTTGAGTAATTAATTATATTTTTTTAATTTGTTAAATTATAGGCTTATTCGAACTTTCCAATTGAGTTTTACAATTTTGTCAGTTTTTAAAACTATTTATCAGTATTTTATGAATTTTTCAAATTCAAAATTCCGAATTTTTCTAATCCTTCGAATTTCTCTAAATCTGTATGTACACTTGCTGAAATTTTTTCTGATTGTTTTTAATTTTCCTAATTGAAACTATGATGATTTTTAAAAATTACGACCAACTTGCAATTCTTTCTGCAAATTTTTTTAGTTCTCTTCTAACCCTTTCCTTATTGGTTTTACATTTACTTTCAGTTCTTAATGTATGTCTTATTGCCCCAAAATATTCACATCCTTTTCGCTTTTAAATTTTTTCCAATGTTTAATTTTTCAAATTTACTTTTTTCTATTTTTTAGTGCTGTGAATGTATATGAAGACTTTTTTTATTTTTCTCATTATTAAAAGTTTTTAATTCCCAATATATTGTAGAAAGTTGTTTTAATTTTGCAAAATCATACATTTTCTGAATGTTTTTATTGCCTTAAATCTTTGGAATTTTGTAATTTTAGGTTTTATTAATAATAACACTAATATTCGATGACCAGCGCGTCATGCCATCAATAGCAATACGTTGCGTAAAGTAAATTGTCTTGAAGTGTGTTTCACTAATAATGGTCAGTATTTTAAACATATAATGTAATTACTTCATTGTTTTGTTGCCTCGAATTGATTTTGTTTTTTTTAATTCATCACAGGCTACTTGATTAAAATATAAAAACCGTTGATATAACTGGTATCTTATTTTCAATCTTGTGCTCTCTGAAAAGAGAATTAAAAATTAATTAAACCTTGGTTTAACAGAATTGGTAGATTTTGCTATGGTTACAACATTATTGCCAATACAGCAGCAAGGCTGCAATCTGGAATTTTGCTGAATCAGTACCAGTCGAGACCTTTGTCATATTTTAATTTCATGGGTGGAGATGTTTACTCACTGATTCTTCTGAAATAAAAGTTCTAAAAGCTCCTTTTTCATTAGTCCTACTGAAATTGCAATTAATATAAAATGGTAATAAACCGAAGTACTGATACAACCTCAGATACAACTAAATAAAGTAATTGTTCAAAGTGCTCATACTGTAAATGATTATTTTTGGCACAGAAACAAGATCACCACATTTCTTGAGGGAAGAATTCCCACCGCACTATAATGCGCTGTAAGTAAAATGTGCAATGCAGCAATAAAATACTGAATCACTGTAAACCTTACAAAATTGTGTATTGAAATTTCTATTTACGTCAAATGTAGACAAAACACGGAATGACGCGGGAAATATTGATAAAAACAGGAAGCCACAACATTAAATGCTCGATTATTAAAAGGAAAATCCATTTAAATAATAGTAAGTTTTGCATTTCAACCTTTAACGCAATCGCATTTTTTGGGAAAGTTGGGATGATAAACTTGAAAAGTACCTATAAATACCTATCAACAATTTCATGTGGATAGTATTCATAAAGCTTTATACTGATAACTACGAGGATAACTATCACGCTAGTGTTGTGTATTTACAATGGTTTTCGAAAGGGGATGTACTGGATACAACTGTAACTTTCATAATGTTAAGGTAAGAAATTTTGGAAATTTTTACATTTGTACTTAATAAGTAAATTTTAGTTTCAGCATCAACCATTGCCTACATTTCAATTTCCAACCAAGTCACCTACACATACAACTTCTACAACTGAACGATCTATTACAGAAGCCGTAACATCTTTTGTAACTGAGACCGTACAACCTTCTACAACTACTCAAAATATCACACAAGCAATAAGCGAAGCCACAACTGCAGTTAATGAGGTGGTAACCAATATTATTGAAACAACATCCGCCAGAGCTGTTGAGGTTACAAATTCTTTTAATGAGGCCATTACTAATGCCATTAGTACGACAACTGTGGCAATTGACGAAGCCAAGCAGACGATCAATACCATTTTTGAAACCGCTTCCAATAATTTTGGTAATTCTGGCGATGGTTTAAACAGCACTAATACAGTGAGCGAAGCAATGGAAAATGGTACCGCAGTTGCTATCGACACCCAGTCAAGTACCACTCCATCGACCACGGAGAGCATCATTTCGCATGTATACTCGACTACAGAAGAACTTCTCAAATCTATGGCAAGCGGTAAAGAAAACCATGAAAAATTTGATTATCACCCTGACCACCCTAATCACAGTGCAATCTACATCATCCTGGGTATCATACTGGCCCTACTGCTATTAATGTTTTCTGTACTAATCATCGTATACATAAGACACCGTAAAAATAAATCGCTCACTTTGCATCATCCGTATTACGAAGTGAGCGATAAAAAGGATACTTCATCCGTGTCGATTGAAAACGAAGCACCAAAAGAATGTGTTACTACTGTTAACGATATTTATGTTCAATATTCTTGCTAAAATATTGAATTGTTATTAATTTGTGATATTGTATTTATTATCTATTTATGCATTTATTAATATTTTAATTTAAATATTTCCTACATTGTGATAAAATAAAGTTTCAACAGATATTTTTGTTACGTACTTTGCAATAAGTGAATTGGCCAGATTTTCACCTACATTTCCACTCAGATTTATAGGACACAAAAGTGGTTTTTTTAAAAATTATTAGTTATTCAAAAATCAAACTTGACACATAATTTTAAAAAAATCGAAAGTGGTACATAGTGAGTGCCGACCAAAGTGCCGACAGAAGTGACTACTTCTTTCTCTTGCTTGCTTGCTCACTTCTTTTTGCCGCGATTATAGAAAAAAAACCGCGCGGGCTTCACCTCAAACCCCTTGTCAAACCCACATCAGTGACCACTGTGAATCAAGCAACAGAGAGCGAGTCTAATATACCATATATAGGTACACAAATTATCCATTCACAAATCTCAAAGATTTCTCAAATTTAAATTCTTCAGGTGCATTGGTATAAGACTTATGTACCTATTACTAGTTTTTGAGCAAGAGGGCAAATCATTTTCTGAAATTTTTGGTTTAGCTACAAGCAAGCTGCTGAGAGCAATGACCACCTGGGTAGCTCGCTGGGTAGGCTAAGGGCTAACCAGGCGGATATGGTTCAAAATTACCTGGCCAAGACTCTTGACAAGCATTTTAGGCCAGTAAATGACCGTTTTGGCGTGTAATTTTTCGCGCCTCAAAAAATTGGCTTGAAAATTTGGATTTAGGTTCCTCTTACCCTCTACTTCAAAGTAGAACCACGTTTTCAGACGGTTTTTCGCAAATAACTCTGAAAGTAAGTATTGTATCGAAAAAAGTATTCTTAACAAAAATATAGCTTATAAAAAAACAAACAAAATGGTCTATATATATGAAATAACCAAAAAATGAAGCACTTTTCGGGGAAAATTTATGAATACTTTTGCTTAAAAAAACCTTTCTGTTTGTTTTTAAGAAAAGTTCCTAGCATCAAAACTAAGTGAGTTACGCTCAAAATAAAGTTGATCCTTTTTTTTGGTAAAAAAAAATCGAGGAAATGACCTAATTAGCACCCCAATTGTAATTAAGCCTTACCGCTTTACAATTTACTTTATTTATGTATTGTTTATATGATCTGTAAGTTTGACCCACGCAAAGTGCTTAGTTTTGAAAAGATGTAATTTTGAAGTAAAACAAAAATTTTGAAATTTTGAAAAATTGACTTTTTTTTCAAAATAACTTCAAAAGTATTAGTGATGCGAAAAATTTACAAGAATAAAAAATGTAGCTTTTGCTTTTCTGAACATTTTGCTTTTTTTTGTTTTTCTGTAAAACAAAAATTGCTTAAGATATGGGTGTTCAAAGTTTGCATACACTCGTCATTAGTGACTCATTCGAGCCCTTTCAACTACAACCCTTTCAAAAATAAGAGTTTAAAAAAAATTAATTTGAATAATCTTATAGCTTTTAAAAAAACCTACAAAATGGTTTTTAAAGCACTTCGTAGCTTAAAAATTAACCGATTTATGAGTAAAAAACCAATCACATATTTAATATATCAAAACGCGTGTAGTTACTGGAGCATTGTAAGATACACATAATGTGCTATTAAGGCCCAGACATACTTTTACCCAACCTTACAAACTAAATATAGTGTACATATATATGTGTATATTTATATAAATCATATTTTCTGTTTCCTCGTGTAGTTTTTTTATTAGATAATTCGACGTGTCGAAGGTCTACTTTGCTTTCTTTATCAAGAACTAGCTGCTCGACCCGGCTTCGCACGGGTGTTTATAATTTTCGTATTCGTAGTTACATGTTGGGATGGATGTGTATGATGTTGGTTACAGAAAAAATAATACCTTAAAATTTGCATTGAAACCCCTTTCCCGAATTATATTTGCACCAAAAAATGATGTCATTTGGAATACATATCAGTTATAATGTTGAATATTCTGCAAGAAATGCTTCGATAGAGGGTTTTGCCCTGAAAGAAGTAATGAATTCAGTGGTCAGGTAGCGTTGTAAGTTGCGGTAATTTGACCTTTCTACTGGCACCATATAATCCTGCTGGTTCTAGTCAAAAGCTCAAAAACGGAAGGAATTCTGTGGAGTATTGGACTCGATCATCAACTTTTTGAAGACACTCGGGTTTACATTAGAACCTAGAACTGGCGTTTTCTTGTTCCCAAAAAATACTTGCCCCTTTTTGAGCACCGTTGGAAGATTTTTAATACAACGTTTTGTTTCGGAGAAATGATCACAAACTATACTTTTTTATATGGCCCCTGGAAAAAGTACACGCTGTATTTAGTAGCACTTTTGATTACGAATACAACTATATACGTCACACAATTAAAAACAAAAGTTTGAAATTGTTGGTTTCAACAGGATGGTGCATCTACGCACAACATCTTAATCGTGCAAGTATACGTATCTAACACTTTTTTCTATTTTCCAGGAATTGATCTGATAGGTATGCTCGCAAGTTGTGCGCGGGTGCTGTCTTGTAGAGTTCAAAAAGTGGCAATGAGAAAGTATTTTTTGGCTTTCTTGTTGTATCTGTTCAAATAACACCAGCAAGCAAAAAATAAACATAAGATCGGCAAGTTTCAGTTTTTCTGTCATATCTTCGGAAGTAATCGGAATTTTTTTGTTCTCTCTAAAACACGATAATAATGGTTTAATTGCGCATCTTTTCTCTAATTTGACCATCATCGTATCTTCTATGGTTTCGATCTCCATGATAGAGGACACTCTTTCCTTTGGTAAATGTAATCCTTTTATGGCTTAATTGTATGTTGGGTCGTCCTCAAAGGCACAGGTTGGAATGAATTTTGTAGTCACGGCAAACTTGCCCTTTTTATAAATAGAATTTACGGACATGTTTTTAAATCAGCTGCGCAGATGTAGGGTAGGTAGGTACGAATTTATATTTTATATCTTGACGATTATTTTCGTAAATTAATTAGGCGATTCTTTGGTTTAATTTTTAAGAAAAGAGTGTCCTATTTGCTTGCCTTAGCTTGGAGCGTTACATGTTTCGATAACGCAAGCACAACAAAAAAAGAACTACATATCTAATTTGATCGCGTAAATAATTTTCGACGATTCATTTTTATATACTTTCGCAGTCATTCGTCCTGCAATCGGATGAACAGTTTAGGGACGTGCTTCGAACCCCCAAAGTTTAGTCGCAATCGGATAAAGGGTTTAGGCAACTGGCAGTGGCATCATAAGAGACAGGACGAATACTATTTTATTTACTTACCTACATAAAAACCTTGAAATATGACCAATCATTACCCAAAGTTTCGTATCAATCGGATGAACGGTTTAGGCAAGCATAAGGAACATTAGTACGTACAGATAGACGGAATTTCTTTTATTATATAGAAACCTTCCGGGACATACCTCCAACTATTCCCTAAAGTTTCATCGCAATCGGATGAACGGTTTAGGCAGGCATAAGAGACATACAAACATTCATTTTTATTTATATAGATTACAGATTGTGACTTTGATTTATAATTATAAATCAATTTTATAAGGGTAGAAATTATGTGGTAAAAATAAAAATAGCAAAGAAATCTAAACTTAATGTTACTGAATCCCAAATTGCTTGAATTTACAATTATATGATTTATGGCCGTTTGCACTGACAAATGTAAGCGGAGCTTAGCTTAAGCGTAGTTTAAAATCCATGGTAACGATTATTGAGACAATGGTTGCCATGGACTTAACCTACGCTTAAGCTAAGCTCCGCTTACATTTGTCAGTGCAAACGGCCATAATAGGAGTAGTTTCCACCCCTAAAAAATAAACAGCAACCAACGGCACAAGTCCAATTTTGAACTGGAGAGTAAGAATAACCCGAGGAATAGGTAACCTAAATACAAATTTCCATGCAAATCAGTGGAGTCAAAGTATTCTATGACATTGTTTTAATTATAACTATTTTAGAGGTAAGATTTAGGGGTTAAACTGTGATAAAATCTTAAGTTGTGTTATTTAATGTTAATTGATATTTATTCACTCCTTTAAAAGATGATTTGAATCAATTACCCCCTTTAATTTACAATTATACGATTTTGTTTCTAATAGGGGTAGTTTTTTCCCCTAAAAAATAAAAAGCAACCCTGGGCTCAAGTTCAACTTTGAAGTGGAGGGTAAGTAGAACCTAAATCAAAGTATTCATGCGATTCGGTGGAAACGCGGAAAATTACACAGTATCGCTGTATTCCACGTTCATTTACTGGCCTATTTGTTCACCCTAGAAGCCCCTACACTACGACCCACGTTCAAAGGGTGGAGGTACTCGGGCCGAAATTTTAAGAATATCGTGCAAGAACACCCATTTTCTGAAGTGGTTGAAGGAGGTAGTTGGCAACCTGCCACAATTGTGGGAGGCTGCACACCTAAAGCTGGTACAGGAAGACTAGGCTTCGCAAGGCTGCCATCTGAGTACCGGGGGAACCTGAAGACCTGGCGACGGTCAAGCAGCGCTTAGAAGTGCAGAATTCCTGGGCAAAGGGAGGCAGATGGTGTCTCTTCCACACAGCCGTGAAAGACCAACCTCAAGGGAGGCTGGTAGTTTTCAGCATTGAGGAAGAGGACCAGATTAACCCTAATGGCCAAGGGGGGTAGCTCGGGGGGAAGACTTAGTTATGGGTTTTCCTCTCTGAAAGTGAGGGTTAGTAACCCTGCCGAACCAGAGGTGGGGAGTACAACCGCCAAAACATCATCAACAGGTGCTACAGGAGCACCTGCAAAAATCTACGGACACATCATCGCCCAGGCTGCCAAAGCAACCCGTGGTCGGTGGGTGCTCCAGTGTCAGCAACTCACCCGGGCCGATTTCGAACTGGGAGGAGTTCGCGAATGTTGAAGCGCTGCTGGAGTCCGATTCCAGCCACGCCGGATAAATAATAAACACATATTGTTTACATAGATAGAAAAGTACAGAATCTAGTCGGACTTCTATATATTCAAAAAAACTTGTGGTAGGTACTAGATTAAACAAATGAAAGATTAAAGGAAAATCAATTTGTCTAATATTTGAATTTTTAATTTAAATGCGATGGAATTATGGAAATAAGAGTGCAGAAAATAGAGGTGTGTTCACTTATAGGTAACACATGTTGTCGAATTACTTTCAGTTGTCACAAACCTAATGGCATAAAGTTAAATACGTGATAAAAATGTTTAACCGTTTGCAGCCTAAGAAATCATTTCCGTGGAAGTTGACGAAACTATTCAACATTATTCACAATGCATGCACAATGTATATTCTTTGATGCATGATGGATCAAAATATTTGTTTATTTCAAGATATCCAAAGTTCATTGAATTCATTTAGTGCACCCACCAAAATATGCGAGTACATTACACATTGGTCCATCAAAATATCCTAGACACATAAAATCATCTCCAAAATCATACATGATGTGACTGTACATTAATCCTAAATTAACCCTTTACCAGGTGCTGATGTTCATTTGCTTAAATGTATCTATAACTTAGACCATGTAGTACATGGACTGCTAATCGTAACTAAAATATGGTCAAGGACATTGCCTGGGTATGTGCGTTTCAGGGTAAACGAGTCTGTCCAAAACTGTCCGATGAGACACAATTTGGACACTGTCAACCTCTAAATTAACAAACGTCAATTAATTAATCGCTTAGATATGCCAAAAAAGCAAAGCTATTCTTAATATATGGTGAAGAAATATATTTGAGACTCAAAATTGTTTATTTTCTAACGGCTATCGATTTCGACGAAAAACGTCATCTTCCGAGCCGAGCTGAAATGTTTTACATGAAAAAACGTGTATAAAGAAATAGTCAATATTATATATATTTCTTCACCATATATTAATAATCACTCAAACAAAAAATGGAGTCCTTCATCAACAAAGCTATTCTTATTTGTGGACGTATAAAAGATAATGAAGAGTATTTAAAGCTTCCCGTACTACACGGTTACCATAAAAGCTACTCTTTACGCGATTCGAGTGGTGTTCATACGACTTTAGTTTACCCTGAGATTCACATACCTACAAATACAGTGCCCTCTATCCGTGACCACCCATTTTGTATTGAAAGTATAGGGCTAATAGCAGTCCATGTAATGGTCTAAGATCTACAAGGAATTATGAATCAACAGCTATACTACAACTTACGTTTATTTTGAGGTGTGCCAAAAGTGGTAGATGTACTGCCGAAATTGAATGCCATTGTGATGGTTAATACTGCACGAATGATTTAAATTTTATTGCATTTCTAAAAGGAAGTTGTTCAATTATTTCTAAATTAAAATTTAAAAGTACTACCTAACCTTTAATGTATGTTTGGCTGTCGGTTTGGTTCTCTTGTCTTTACACCACAGTCACAGAATACTATTACGCTCTTTCGCTTATATTCGGATCTATGGGATAATGTGTGATATGCAACTTGTGGTACACCAATGTAATCAATGGTATAAGCTTTTTTGTTTTGAATAAATAGGAACTGGCTCTACCATTGTATTTGTTTATAAATACAATGCTACTACGTATTATACTATGCTACTACCAAAGAGTACCCTTACTATTTGCTAGTACTATTCAGCGTCTACTACATATAACCTTTAGGTAATTTCATAGTCTAAAGCAAGATGCGCATTGAATCAACTCTGATCGACACGATACGACTCGACGTCACCGATCGATGTGCTGTGCAAACATTTAAACAGAAATCCGCGTACTGCGTCGGTCACCGTCACGGTTCGAATTCCGCGTTGTAGTCGATCCGAACAGACGCAGTGCGCGGTTACCTATTTAAATGTTTGCATAGCAAATCGATCGGTGACATCGAATCGTGTCGATTCAATGCGCGCCCTGCTTTAGACTATAACTATACGAGTCGTCGTCTGCGATTGCTGACGTCATCAAATCAGCTACAGTACTTGATGTCCGTCTGCGATTTTGGAGCCCACTGACAGTCCACATCTGTGCACAGAAAAACTGTTTAATGTGTCATTTTAACTGTAAACCAATTCGATTCGACTTTGGTAAAATAGTAGGCATTATAGTTACACCTGTACGTAAATCATTCTCCGTAAATTCATCATTTGGGCATAATTACTATTTGTCATCTTTCATAAACGCATCGTCGCATCATCATCCTCTTTGACACAGTTAAAACAATGAATATGCGCAATATGAAGTATTTTATGAAAGTGTTTTTGCAAGAAGACGCTTTGTGAGGTGTTATTTCGTATAGGTAACATATACAGTGATATTCATGTAAAAGTAGTTTCCTATGTCTACTTTCAAATGATAAATCTTCTGAAAGACGCCTAATTTTATGCAACCAAAATAACTTCGTGAAACAAAGATCTGGCTTTCAATTATTAATTTGAATATCGTTGCTTTGGCTTCACAGAAAATAAATCTCTTTAGGTCCTTTAACTGTTATGGGTATACCAATTAGAAATATCAACTTTTTCTTTAGTTAAATACATCGCACACGAACGAAAATTAGAATACGGAAGTAAAAGCGATAATATTCAAATTAATTAATATACCAGGCAGATCTTCATTTGTTGTAGGTAGTTATTATGGTTGCATAATAGTTATTTATTTAATCAGTGGGATAACGGCCTCATTAACTTACGAATGCGACAATTGCGCATACGAGGGCGTTAGCCCGAGCTATTGTAAGAGCATGAGTATGTTAATGGCCGTTAGCCCAAGTATTAAATACAACTTTTTATCTGCGACTGTTCTTCTACTGCTAAAAACGAAAAATAAATTTGATGCATTTTTTTAAATTCCAATCGAAGTAGCATAGTTAGCAGTTTTCGACGCCATAGAAACAAGAAAATCCTAACGTCAAGAAAATTTGTACGTCAAAAATTTTGCTTCTGATTTCTTTGCTTATGTCATGAGTGAGTCTGGAACTCTTCCATCAGACGTTAATGTTTACAATATATAATCTTGATAGTTGATTTTTGATCATACATTGTTTTGACAAGGGCTTATCCCACTGAGTGTGGTAATGAAGTTCTTATCCCACTGAGTGTGGTAATTAAGTTCTTATCCCACTTAAAATGACCGGGATAAGTGAGAGTTATCCTACAGGCGCAGATAAAGTTCTTTAGAAGACTTTTTATCATTTAAAAGTAGACATAGGTAATCCCTGTGCCTACTTCTACATGAATATCACTGTATAATGTCTAATATGTATTTTACTACATAATTATATAGCAACATAGAATCGAATAGGTGTTACTTCACAATTAAAATGAGAAAATTGAATAAATTTAAAAAATAACATGCGTGTATGTTTATATCCGCATGCATAACTCGTAAAGAAAGTACTGGCTGCTTTGGTGTCGTTAGCAATCGGAGGCGACGGCTCCGTTATTATATAGTAAATCTCTGCTACTACATATATATAATAGAACTGACAATTGATGTTTGCAAAACATTCCGTATGTCCTGCATCCTGCATGTATTGTATTTAGAGAAAAACCTTTGATTTGTTCATTATTGATGCATAAAGATAAAACCTTACACTTTTTTGTGCACGGATTTGGATTGTCAGTGGGCTCCAAAATGGCTGACAAGTCTGTTGCCATAATCAAGTACTGTATAGAACTGGCGGTTGCGTAATATCTAGGTTGTCTCCATTTAATACTCGCAAGTTGGAAGTAACAGAAAATTATAGGGTCATCAAGATATCCTATAATACAGTCGCAAGTATTCCTTAACTGTATCCCTGTGCACCTAAGATATATAGACCTAATAGAATTTAAGCATAAAATAAAAACATTTTTTATTAGTCAATGTTATGTTTTGTAGCGATGAAGAATTTTTAACTTTTGATTTTACCTGTAATACTTCTACATTTCTTTTTAGATAAGCATATAATATAAAGTAACTGTGATATTTTTGACAATGTGTAAGTACTTCATGTAGGTATATTAGTCTGAATAGATTATTATTATAAAGTAACGGGCGATCAAGTCGCCTTTGGAAGTTCCAGTGAAGTAAGATTTCCTATGTAAACAAAAATTCCAAAGGTGACACAACAGCAACTCATTTTTGATAGCAATTCTGAAGTAACTACTTCTTATTGCTAGATATACTTTATTTTCATTGTTTTGCAAGGGTGTAAATTCACTCATACACAACGCCATAGCACATATTATTTACTAGTAAGGTGTGGTAATCGAATACAAAGTACGCTTCTATGTTCTATGATCGTCACGCGTTTGTAGCAGAAGGCAAGCTCGGCCTGCTCGCAATTGTTCATTTGAAAGGAAATATGGCATTAAAATTGTTTATGGAATATCGTATGGATGCCACTCCCTAGGTACAGACGTTTCCAGGTCGCATCAACCGCTGTCTGTGTGATTTAACGACAGTCGTGGTATGACTGCCGGGACCGCCACATTACATGCCCTCTGAAAAATGGTAGTCGCAGATGTTCTGTACCAAGATACACACTTGCCGCTCTTTGATTATGATGACGCGAGTTCGAACACCCTTGGCAAGGTGCTTTTTTTCTATAATAGATTATGGCAACAGTGGATAGAGTGAAGGATTGTGAGAAAGAGGCACCTCTGTGGTCATTCTGAATTTTTTTATCTAATTTACCAGGACTGGCAATTATTGAGTTTTATGCAAAGGGCGTAAATGTTTACAAAAAACCAATACAGTCGACCCTCATTTATCCGGGTGCCGCTTAACCGTACTGCAATATTAGTTGAGATTATCCAGGTTTTGTCGATTAACTCTTCCAAGGATGGGTAATAACTTTACGGGATATAGGTACACAAAACACAGGATGAAGGGTGTTTATACTGCTTTCTGCATTATTTTACAAAACTTAATGTTATTAAACAGTAAGCTTATGATTTATAAGTAAAATATATTTTTATTTTGCTTTACCCCATACCATCAATAAAAAAAATTTCCCATGATCCATGATTTTCGATTTTCCGTATGTGCCACGGATAATTGAGTTGACTGTCCAATAAAAATTATTTTATTAAGTAGTGCACTTAGACATACCTACTTTAATCATTTTCAACATAAATAGTAAGGGCTGATCCGGTCTATTGATCGCATTATAATTACTCTGTTTACATTTGATGTTGGCTATTTATACTTCTTAGACTGAACTATTCCAATTGCTCTGGCTTATTGAAAATTGATATGTGGACAACTGTTCTACCCTGGATAAATTCCAATTTAGGAGACAAAATTGATCTCACATACATAGGTTTTGTCGCACCACTTGTTTGGCATAGACTCATAGAGGCTTAACCTAAATTGTGGGCCTAAAAATGTAAAGCCCACATTACATTTATCAACTAATTCATGAATTTGCCCATGGATTTATTGATGAATTATTTCATGGATTTATTGTTCAGATAAGAACACTTTACACTTGTCAATAAAACCATGAATTTTCTAGTCTATGTTAAGGATTGCCAACTTTGAGAAAAATTACCAAACGCCTAAACAAAACAAACAACCCTCTGTTTACATAGGTTACCTATTCTAATTATCAAGATTAATGAACAGAAAAACAAAGTTAAGGCATAATAATGCAGCCAAAGTTAAAGCAGCAGTAGTTGCTATGATGGTTGCTGTTACGGTGCTTGACACTGATTTGCTGTACTGTAAAAGTACAATACCACGGATGCTTTCAATAAAAGTGTGGTTATAATTTACACCCTACAAAATTAGTACAAATGCCGCCGTCTATTGGTATACATGGAATAACAACAAAATTACTAAAATATCACCAGAAAATTGACGAAAATTAGAGTTCTTAATTCATCAAGGAATCCACCAACAAACCCATGAAGAAATTATTGAGAAAATTGATGAATTTATAGTACTTTACACTTGACAATTTAACCTTGAATTTGTCCATGGGCAAATTCGTGAATTAGTTGATAGATGTAATGTGGGCTTAAGAATATTAACAAAAATGTTGGCCCACCGGAGTATGTTACTAGACAGGCGTTCGATAGGGATGCATCACTAGGCTGAACAAACAGACGGGTGGATTTTCTGGTATTTTACTTACCCATGAATATACCATTTACTTCCCTATAAATGTATGTCTCAATTTTTCTACGCATGTATAATTTAAACCATATTTTAGTTAGTGTATCTATGTATTGAAGCGATATATAAGTGAAAAAGAGCATACGAACCATAAAAGAATAATACAAACAATAAATGCACACATTAGCAAGCATAGGGATTGCAAGCAAGTACAGTTCATTTTATCTAACCTAAAAAAATTATTATCAAACAGCAGTAAATTGTGTAGTTCAGTACATATAGCATACATTAGAAACCCAACACGACATTAAACAATAAATAACTATTGTACTAAGTTTTTGCGTTTAATTTTAATCTTACATTGTACACTTGCATAAGCGTTAAAAAGAAATTGCTTTTTAATTTTGGAAAAGAGTTCGAGTAAATTCAATGTAATCCAATGCTCCTGCTATAGGACGTTCTGTTTTCGGTTCCACGTAAGGTTTCATACGTGCTACACAATAGTCTGCCATATCCTTTGTTAAATTCTAAGAAAAAATTATTTAATATTAACAAGAAAATTTAGAACATTTTGCAAGCACTTACGGCATATAATTCCTCCTTGGTAACATAAGGACGATCTCCTGCTGTAATTGCTCTGAAAGCCTTCTCTATCTCTTCCGAGCTTTGTACATTTTCCGTTTCTTTGCTTATCATGAAGGCCATATACTCTTGCAAAGATACATATCCATCACGATTAGGATCAACCACATCTACAACACGTTATTAATACAACTAATATTAAAGTTGAATGAATCAACCTAAGATAGCATCGAATTCCGGATCTGGGTGACCTTCTTCGACCATTGGCAGATCATAGCCCAAAGCTCGTAAACAAGATTTGAATTCTTGATGATTCAGTTTACCAGATTTTTCCTTGTCGAAATGTTTGAACATCATCGAGAATTCCTTAAGCGCATCCTCACTCACACCTACAAGATGCGGTAAATAACAACGTGCAAAGAAATAAATGATATCAAACCAGATTGGTTGCGAGCTTGAATTTGTTGCTCAAGATTGTGCTGCATTCGCATTCCCAGTTGGTCCAGTTGATCCCACTGTTGGGCCAAACCGACAGTTGAATGTTCGGTGTAACGATTGTCTAAGATAAGATGTTCCTCCAAAATGGCGCCTAGATCTTCAATTTTTTTCAGATCTGATCTACGTGCGCGCACTTCGGCGGCTTTGCGTTTCGTCGCTTCCAGTTGATGTTCTAAAGATCCTGAACCCTCCATCATAGATGTTCTTTAATGAAAACATATAAATGTGTATGTTACAAATTTTAAGGAAGGTTATTTTTAACATGCCAAACATTAACACACATAATGAACTTTAATCCTACAGCACAGTGATCAATCAGTGAGCATTACCAAAAAACTCTTTAGATAAGCATCAAACGGGGCAATCTGCAGCTTCTTTTCCCTTCTGTGGTAAAAAGGTTACAGACAGTACCGGGTGACCCAATCTGTTCCTCAGCCATATCTTGAGAACCGTTCGTCGTATGACTTAGGGGTAAAAAATTATTGGGTAAATCGGTTACGAAGAATTACTAGAAAATATTTTCAAATTTGAAAAATGACCACCAGAGGGCGTAACTGCCACCTTAAATTTTAAAAATGCATTTTCTTTAAATTTCGCATAAACTAAAAAATTTTTTCACATTTTTAAAGAGAACCAGTTTATCATTTTCGTAAAAACATAAACTTAGTTATTTCGAAAACAAAGATGGTGTGGGGCGTTCAATTGTTTTTGCAATTGTGGGGCGTTCAATTGTTTTTGCAATAACCTGCTTCAACTTCTTAACCGTTTGACCGATTGTAACAAATTTGGTATCATTGAAAAGAGCGTTCCTTGGGCAATAAGAATCAAGTTATAGTTAATTTAGTTGAATCTTTCTCCGCCAGGGGGTTAGTTTTGACATTATGATCCAAAATCCTAAAAACATCAAATGGAATGATATGACTTTTTTTTATGAAAAAGTAGCCAAATAATATCAAAATCTCGTTCCTAACCTCAAATATTGGGAAAATGAGATTAATTAATAAATAAATAAAAATGGTTAAATTGTATCTTAAATTTACTTTTGACGTATTTTGGCTATTTGTCGATGGCGCGAAAGAAAAGCACCCTACACTTTTAGGTAGGCCTTGGAAAATTAAACAAATGAAACACGATGCATTATAAAATAATAACAGCCGTAATTTGTAAATTATTCTGCTGTATTTACATTCAAAAAGTGGAGTTTTTTGAATTTGTAATCTTTTCTAAAATGCCGATTTCTAACCAAGAAGCATTTAATATCCTGGCGATATATTTTGAGTATTTTCAAAATGCGATCATCGCTGTCCACATCTTCTATTTGCGTTATTCGAATCAACCACGAACCATCGCCGCCAGCATTGTAAATGCTTCTTGGTTAGAAATCTGCATTTTAGAAAAGATTACAAATTCAAAAAATTGCACTTTCTGAACGTAAACACAGCAGAATAATTTACAAATTACGGCTGTTATTATTTTATAATGCACCGTGATTCATTTGTTTAATTTTCCAAGGCCTACCTAAAAGTGTAGGGTGCTTTTCCAAACTATCTTTCGCGATATCGACAAACACCGGAAATACGCCAAAAGGAAATTTAAGGTACAATTTAAGCATTTATATTAATTAATCTCATTTTCCCAATATTTGAGGTTAGGAACGAAATTTTGAATAACGGTTTTCACTGGCCTCTTTGGATGATATTTGGCTACTTTTTCATAAAGAAAAAGTCATATCATTCCATTTGATTTTTTTAGGATTTTGAATCATGTCAAAACTACCCCCTGGCGGAGAAGGATTCAACTAAATATTGGTTGATTCTTATTGCCCAAGGAATGCTCTTTTCAACGATACCAAATTTGTTACAATTGGTCAAACGGTTAAGAGGTTAAAGCAGGTTATTGCAAAAACAATTGAACGCCCCACACCATCTTTGTTTTTGAAATAACTGAGGTTTTGATTGTACGAAAATGATAGATAAACTAGTTCTCTTTAAAAATGTGAAAAAAGAATCTTTAGTTTATTATGCGAAATTTAAAGAAAATGCAATTTTAAAATTTAAGATGGCAGTTAAGCCCTCTGGTGGTCATTTTTAGAACTTGGAAAATATTTTCCAGCGATTCTTCATAACCGATTTACCCAATAATTTTTTTTCCCCTAAGTCATACGACAAACGATTCCAGAGATATGGCCGAGGAACAGTCTTATTGGGTCACCTGGTACATAAACTCTGTACTCTGTACGGTCACTCTGTAATTGGGCGCATGCCTGTTGAGGGCCCAAAAACAAGAGAGGGATAATAATAATAATAATAATAATAAAATAATAAACAGAGAGGCAATTAATAGATTCTAGGAGAGCGGACCTTTTGCCAGGAAACCAAACAGATCCCTTGTATACAGGACTCCATTCTCTCCAGAGAGAGTGGAGATGCAACCACCAACATGTTCGAAACCTTATCACCAACACTACTACTTCAGTGATAAGAAACATGGAATGCATATTACACCGTAAGGCACTTGCTGTAGGCTTGTTAAAAAAGTATATCAATCGAATGACCAATTTTGTTGCAGAGATCTCATGAATCCGCTAATGGAGTGAGAAAGTATTGGTTCTGTTGTCTCTCTCTCTCTCTAATATGGAAATACAGATGAAAGATTCACTTCTAAAGTTTTAACTATTAAAATCTGAATGCTTTACTATTTATGTGACAGCAATTAATAGTGTTCCCATAAACTTTCAGGCTCCCTCGGCTATTAATTTTAATCACCACTTAAGTATTTTGCAAAAGTGATGTGTAAATATCAAATGTAAATTGAGCAGTTAGTAATTAGTGCAATTACTTTCCAAAATTAATACAATAAATAGCAATCCAAGAAATATGAACTAGTGTTACTGTATTAGCTTGACACACAACAATTTTATTTACCCACCCATCCCAACCCAGAATTCGGTAACTGAAATTCAGAAAGGCAGCATAATAAACAGAAAGTATGTGGTTTGTTTATAGTTAGAAATGCTTACCGGGTTTCAGTTAGCCATTGATGGAAAGCATTGGCATGTTTAGCAAATTCCTTGCGAAGTTTATCATTCTCTTCTTGTCGCTGTGCCTCCTTACTAAGTTCAATATCTCGCTCTGCAATAATTTTTTGTAAATTGCGCCAAGTCTCTTCTAACGCTTCCATGTTGAACCAAGTGTAAGGATTCGGTCCAACATTAAAGCTCTTAATTTGCTGGTCTAATGTTGCTAAAGCTTCAAAGTCAGCTTGTGCCGAAGACAGCGATGCCTGAAAGAAGAGATCAGTTTACGTCGCATATTACACATGATAATTACTTGGAACTGTGCGTGAGCTTCGCGTAGAGCACGAATTTCCTCGATAGAGTTACAACGTACGGGATCCGTCAAATCTTCCTCCGCGTTTTCGAACCAGGAATTAAACGCAGACGCTTTCTTTGCAAAGGTAAGGAACAGCTCTTCAATTTGGCGGAACTGATCTTGCATGCGCAACAGGCGTTGCTTTCGAGCATCAGAATCTGCTAGTAGTTTTTGCCATCTAAAATTAAGTGTTTACTAAATTGAAAATTTTACAATATAAGGGAACATATTGCCATCTTTCGTGCTAAAAATGTTTGCACATTTACTTTATCCTATTTCATGCTGTTCAGAATGATCTGAATTGATGATTTTTCAACAAATGAGATTGATGGAAGAGGTAGAATTTATGAGTTTAAATAAATTAATTTCCAATACTTGCTTACTCTTATCACTCTGACCTTCTTGAAGATAATTTATCTGCTTGTAAATACTGCCAGTTCATGTTAAATTTTATGCAAATCTGGCGCTCAACATCTCAAACCTTTGCGCAATAAACTACAACAAAATCAAGAAAAGAGGGATAAATGAGTTTCAAAATTATATGGATTGAGAGGCACAAGGAGACCAACCAGAACATTATTTGTGACTGCACATTACTCACAGAATTAAGAAACTGGAGACATCATGGCCAGCATTATGACAAGAAAACTCGAATCAGAGATATCCATGGTATAATGAAACTCAAAATGGGGTTGTGTAGTATAAAGTTGTTAAAATAACCAACAAAAACAAAAAACCTTCCCCATATTAATTTAATAGACAAGACGTAAAAGCGACTAGTTCTTGCTTCATTTTATTTAAATTTTCATAATTAATTTACGACAAAAACTGGAAACTTCTCTATTAAATCCTTGAGGTTTTGTTTAAACTTAAAAGAGTTATCCTTGGATAACTACAGCCACCAATCCCTTTATAAAATCAGGTGACGACATTTCAACACATGCACAAACTAGGGAGACAATGACCACTTACTATTCTATAAAGTGCTTTATTTCGGCCCCCTTCACACCTTTCTTTAAACAACAATCTTAATTGTTTTAAATAAACAACGAAACTCCTTTTATTATAAGAGAATAATATTGTCGTAGTAGTTGCCATAATTAATTTTTAACACAGGTGCTAAGTTTGCCTTCATTAAAAGCACCTATGGTTAAAAGATAAAGAAAGAAGTTGATGATTGGCAAAGTATTTTACGAAAATATTTTGGGCCTTAACAGTCATAGTTGCATTCAAGATTTATGTGGTCTCAAGCAAAACTACCAAATACAAAAAATTATCAAAGTCCTCGTTTGAGATCGAAGGGACTTCAGCGCATTTTTGTGTGGCAGATCAGTATTCTATTAGCCACTTTCGACTCAACCATCAATAACAGATCTTGTCGAAGGCTACTACATTCACTAACCGCTTCCCACTTTCCGCGTGCACCCGCAATTCGCTTTTAAAGATTTGACTCCACCATCAGTAGGATCGTGTCGGGAGCTACCACATTCCCTTTGACGGTACCCACTTCCGACGTTCCGTTCATCCGCAATTCGCGTTTGAAGATTTGACTCCACCATCAGGAAGATCGTGTCGGGGGCTACCACATTCCCTTTGACGGTACCCCTTTCCGACGTCCCGTTTACCCGCAATTCGTGTTTGAAGATTTGACTCCACCATCAGGAAGATCGTGTCGGGGGCTACCACATTCCCTTTGACGGTACCCACTTCCGACGTTCGGTTCACCCGCAATTCGCGTTTGAAGATTTGACTCCACCATCAGGAAGATCGTGTCGGGGGCTACCACATTTCCTTTGACGGTACCCCCTTCCGACGTCCCGTTCACCCGCAATTCGCGATTGAAGATTTGACTCCACCATCAGTGAGATCGTGTCGCGGGCTACCACATTCCCTTTTACGGTACCCACTTCCGACGTCCCGTTCACTCGCAATTCACTTCTATTGGCGACACGAGAAAGAGAGACAGCGATTCGAGATTTACGAAACGTTAAACCGCGTGAGTTCGCAACGGAAGGTAAAAGGCGCCCGAAGTTGACTACTTCTCGAAGACGCGCGCGCGCCTCGCAAAAGGTCGTTAATTTCGCCCCTATGACAAAAAACAAAATTCCGCCACGCAGGAGTTGTGCGCGTTTACAACATCTTTCCGACGACACCAATTTCAAAAGAATCGGACCAAAACTGTAGTAGAAGATAGGAAAAAACTGAAAAACCTTCACGTTAGTATACTACGCTCGAGGATGACGCCCAGATGTCGCCAACCCCACATCATGTAGCCATGTCCCTAAGGTTGACAAATTTCACGGCCCTGTAGATACACGTACACCCGTTGCCTTTCTACAAGAGTTCTTCTACGCGCCCACATTTGCTGCCAGCCAGCCAGCCAGACAGCCAGCCAAAGTGAGATTAAAAGCTACTTTTTACAAATAAATTTGCAAAAATGCGCTAAAAACATGAATAATTTTATTTTTTATTTTGTTTTATTGTCTTTATTTTATAGTGGGCGGAGTGTTAGCTAATTAGCTACTCTTCCCACTCAACCCACTATAATATCTCAAACAGTCATGCCTTACCTGGGATTCGAACCCAGGAACTTTGTAGTCAAAGTTAGAGCTACAAATGTAAACTCATAATCGAGTGAATCGCCATAAGAAATACATTATAAACGTTTTGTAATTTTTTTCTCTATCGAGTGACATAAATATCCAATATAGTGTCCATTTAAAATAAAGAAGTTGATGTCAATATCTCGAAAACTGCCAATTAAAAAAATGTTTTTCTGCGTTTTCGATAGTTCTCTTTGTTACTAAAATATTTGTTGAACTTTTTAAAAATGGCGATTTTCACTTTTTTCCAATTATCTACGAAAGAAATTATTTTTTTCAAAATATCGCATCGGAATATCCATCAGCATCAAAAACTACACAACTTTGCGAATTTAACCGAATCTGTAAGTATAAACATAACAAAGATAGCCATGCTATCCTACTCAATTTAAAATACCCTGTATTGACACCATTAATACCAACTTAAAATCTTCACTGGAGTTCTTTTTGGAAATTACTGGAATGCGTTGGAAGTCAATGAATAAAGAATACCAGGAAGGAGCATTACTCAGGTTGTATACAAGAGAGAGTGCGACGGAAGTCGGCCATTTGCAAAAGACACTTATGACTCATTTTTGTTGTGGTTTTTGCAGTGACATAAAATAATGGTTAGTTGTTGTGCTTGTGATTGCTCCAAAACGGAAAAAAATAAAAGTTTGGGAATTACATTTCATGTGTAAGTATTGATACCAATATTATTTTTATATAGTGCATGTAAATTTACAAATTTTTTATCGGAATGTAGTTTGAGGTTAGTTAAACAAAAGTCATAGGCGGAGTAGACACATGGGGGTTTAGATTGTTTTCGTGTAAAATTCTTTATAATTGTATCCTTCTACAACTGTAAGATAGATACGCCACTGGAACATGAAACTACAGTCCGCCATTTGCAAAAGCCATCGCGGTCGCACGTATATTGTTGATATTCTTCTTCCTGGTATTCTTTATTCATTGGTTGGAAGTTAATGAAATTTTTTTTAATTCAATGGAATTATTTTGCAGTTTTGAAAGTCTGGAAATTCTGGATTTCTTTTATTTGGAATTCAGGTGTACACATTTTTGCTCAGTGGTTAACCCATCGTTAAAATCTCAAGCTACCATTCATTTTGAACATGGGGCCGACAGTATAAGTTTGGTTAGGGTACAGTCCCAAGAACGAACATAGGAGCAGTAAAATAGCTTTTTTCTCCAACCACCTGAATAAGACGCTATTTTGTGACAGTGTTCGGTACGTAAAATTGACGTTTTGCGGATTAATCGCTTTCACCATGGCAACTGTACAAAAAGTGGATACTTTTGGTCCTAGTACCAAAAAGAAATTGACCTTGAAAGTTGGTCAATTAAAAAATTACAATCACGGAGATATGTCACATTGATGTTTTAAGCAGGTATTATCTATACATACAAATCAAATATTTTTGCATATTCAATGCAAATAATGCTGTTACCTATACGTATGTATGTACATGTATTGAAAATGATTTACGCTCGCTATTTTTATTTAAACCATGTGTAACGTAATTTACATATTCGATGAACGTAATTTTAATACGTATACAACCCGCCGTCGCGCGTAACGCCATCTACTTCAGACCCATTGCACTATTATCTGTCATTTTGAATTCAAAATTTGAAAAAGTTAATTGCAATTAATTTTAATTAAAAAACTGTATGGTAAGTTTTTTATTTCAATACAAAATATAACAATATTAATTGTGTATACAATAGAAATGACTGAAACTGATAGCGACATGGATTGAACTCCGCCAGAGATTATAGAAACGGCAGAACATGCTACCTCAAGATTTGCTCCCTACAAAGTCGCGAGAGGTGAGAAGTAAGAAGTAAGAACGAATGGTTATAAGTTAACCTAAAAACTAGAGTGGCATGAGACGTGAGGACAAGAAAGCCGAAGTTCTTATACTAGTAGCGAGACTGTGACTGAATGTAAATTTGAATATAATTTGAAGTAAAGGGGGTTGGAGAAAAATTTTTATGTTTTATTCGTACAAAAAATGCGTTTTCGGGACTCGGAAGGTTGCTGGACGACGCGTTAGCGGAGAGATAACTATCTTCCTCTTCCCGAAAACTGACATTTTTTGTACTAATGAAACAAATAACTATTGATGAAGTTTTCTTTGAAGTTTTATCTTCTGGTGGTGTAGAGAGAAGTCCTCACACAGTACCGGCTCTTCAAACAAGAAGAATTACGAGTACTTACCCATGCATTATGATTTGATGGGTAGTCACTCTTTAAAAATTCATATGACCTTGAGGACAAGGTATGAAGAATTTCGTTATTTATTCTCTTCACTGGATTTAGTAAATTTTTTTCATAAACGGCAATGGTTTCAAAGTTGCATTGTGGAAATGTAAAAGATGAAATTTCCATAGTATAGTAGGAGAAAACCCCCATACGTGCCCCACCTTCAAGGTAACAGGCTTTTAGTTCATTCCTAACAACACCAGACCTATCTCTGAACTCAAAAATTCTACCCCCTCCTACGTCTACATAATAGTTTATGAAACATGTTATGTCACTCTTGGAAAATGTGACTTTTAAATGTAACCCAAAAGAAAATATAAAAGACTGTTTGATTACCCCAAACATACCTAGCAATACATCAACATGTCTCTGTTTAATAGCAGCACTCTGATCATGGTTTGCTTCAATCAATTGATCACGAAGTGCAGTTATATTCTGAATGCCTTCATGTTCAAATGCAGTAAGGCCTAAAATACAAACACAGTTAATGAAACTAATCTTACAAAACGCAACTGAAAACTCACCGGCATCAAATGTATCTTGTTTTGTAAGCAAAGTTTGAACTGATGACAAATCTCGCCCAAATTCCTCACTCTTCACATGACTCTCTTTATCGGCAATCCAACTTTCAACAACATCAGCCTTCCACATGAACTGAAGATAAGCAGAGTTATCGACCAATTTGGCCTTACGCCTTGCAGCCAAGGCAGCTAAATGATCCAATTTCGTTTGGAGCTGCTGACAGCGCTGATTGATGCTATCTGCGTGATGATTACCTTCCGACACCAGTTTCTGACCATCTTGACTAATATCCTTGCAACGATCTCTATGTGCCTGGAAGTCGGTTTCAAAAGCGTCATGCTTTTTGAGCAAGCCCTGGACAGCGGCCATAGTGTCTCCATAATCTTCAACTCCCAGAAGTTGTTGTTTCTCACTAATCCACGCCTCTTCTTCTTCCACTTTTGCCAGGAACTGCTGATATGTAAGAGACTCGTCTAATTTTTTACCACGAGTCGCAGCCAACTGTTTTAATTCTGCCCAGGCGAGGTTTAGCGCCTTGAGCCGTTGTTCAATTTCGGGAACGCCCAAATTTGAAACGTCCATCAGTTTTTCTCCCGCCTCTTGCACCGCTTGAATGGCCGGTTCGTGCGAGCCAAGTTCGGCCTCCAGTCGTTTATGTTTCTTCTTTAAATTTTGTACGCCGGTTAAATCGCGACCATAGTCATCAGAGCCAACCAGTAATTTCTTTTCCCTAACAAAGAGTTAAACATTGAGATAATCTAAAAAGGGCACTTACTTAATCCACGATTCTTCGTCCGCGATATCTCTGAAAAATTGATGCAAGGTGTTAGCTTCATTTAATCTTGCTTGTCTGTGAGCTCCCAAGTTTTTAATACGTTCGTAACGTTCATTAATAGATTGTCGCTTCTCATGAATACTGTTCGTATCAAACTGTCCACTTTCAATTAGCGAATCCGCCTGATCGTTCATATCTACATATAAAATCAATTATTACTAAGACAATTGCTGATTAAATATTAACCTTTTATACGATCATCGTGAGCCTGAATATCTGCTTCGACCAACTGGTGTTTCTTCATCAAATTCTGAACCGAAGCAAGATCTTTCCCTGCGTCCTCACTAGTTAATAAGCTCTCAACTTCGCCTAACCAAAAATCTAAATCCTTGACTGCAGCAATGTAAGTCCTTTGCTTGTTGGCTTCTTTTAACTTCAAAGACTTTTCGGTGGTTTTCTGAGTGAGATACTCCCATTGCTCGGCGATCGACTCGAGGCGTCTACGGACGGCCTCCTCCGATCCAGCGCATTGACGTTTATCTATCAAATTTTCACCATTGCCAAGAACAGATTGGATACGGTCTGCATTGGCAGCTAACTCCGCTTCGAATGCCTGGTGTTTTTGATGTTTGGATTGTATATTTGCAGGATCCTGTCAAAGACGAATAAGAGATTGAAAACGAGCAGTCTTAATTACCTTGTAACTTTCTTCTGTAGCAAGCTGAAGCTTTTCGGCTATCCAATTTTCTATTTCGTCGGCATCTCGCGAAAATTGTTGCAAGGTCTGACTTTCTCCCAACTTTGAACGTTTCTCAATAAGCGCTTCTTTCAAATGGCGCCATCGGTTTAAAACTTGGCTGCGCTTGTCGTCTATTTCATTTGAAGCATAATGACCGTTGCCGATTAGTTGATCTGCAAGACCCTGTAGAGCTGCAATCTTTTCTTCCTGTATCAAATGTAAGTAAGTAGTTACAATCTAAAAATAAAGCTACTCTAAATACTAACATGGGCATTGATTGCTTTGTCGAAATCTTCATGCTTTTTAATTAAAGCCTCCACATTGTCCCCTTTGGAGTCTACTTCTTCGGAAGCCAAAAACGCTTCCCGATCAGACATCCAATTTTCGGCCTGCTCACAGTCCCGGTAAAACAAGTTAAGATCCAGATTCTGATCCAACTGTACACGTCTTTCAATCCACGCTCTAGAAATCAAAGTTAAGATCGGCGTTGAGAAAAGATTAAGTCATCACCTTTCGAGTTCTTCACGAGCTTTATTCAATTGTTCTAATTTTTCTTGAATCTCAGGGCTAGCATAATGATTCGACGATAATAATTGCTGTCCAAATTGTTCCAATGTGTGGAAGGTACCGGCGCGTGCGTCTATTTCGGTCCGGTGTTCCTAAATTATAAGTAATGAAATATGTGGATTGCTAACAAATAGGTTTTGTTTATTCAGACTCTGATAAAATTAGTACAACATGCCATTCTATTCAAAATGATTTACGTTGGAGTCATTTTTGGGCGGCTGAAACACAGCATTCATTTAAATGACAATCATCCACACAAAAAGCTCCTCTTTTAAACTAGCATGCAATTTACTATATTACAAGTTTTGAACAAGTAATTTCGTTCGCAACTGAAATCCACATTTGTACACAATTCAACATAACTTGCGCGTGCGCAAACGCCATTTGTAAAATGACTGCTAGTTTTTACTGTCACGAGTTATAGATACAGGGTTATTACAAATAGTATTCATGATTTTAAGTGTACTTGTACTTGTTTTATTTATTAATAGTCGCTGGCGACATGGATCGTGTGAGAAGAAAAATGCCATTCAGGTGGTGGAGAAATATCCGGAAACCCCTTGGACGTCATGACGACGGCGCTAGCAATACAGTGCGTGTACAGAATACAACAACCTTGTGATCGAAACAAGAAAGGTCGATGCTGAACTTGCAGCACAAAAAGCCGAATGGCAAGGAGAAATCATCAAGGAGCAACTTGAATTTGTGCAGCTTGAGATCGAGGAAAAGTATGGAATACTGCTTGATGGATTGGATCAAATGGTTGAAAAAGACATTGGACTACAAGGGGGTAAAATGCAGTGTGGTGATTGGGTTGAGCGTGGTGCTGTGGTTTCCTGAGTCAGTCACAACAGAGTGGGTTTGTCACCATGTCAAATTATGTCCAAATTACGGCAAAATGACTTTGTACCAACCCCTATTTCTTATCAACCACTAATACAACAAGATGTGAGAGTGCTCGAGTATTATCACGAGTCTATTCACGGGCAGTCTATGAAGAGAGACACACCTGTCTTCTTTGGAGATCCAACAGACGGCTTGGGTTCATTGAGCGGTTTAGACATATTGTAGATGAATGTCAGCTGGTTCAGGGTGAGAGTGAAGGGTGATGCAAAAAAACTATCTTCTCTTCACGAGTGCAAATGTAAATGGAGCGTTAGACACATTAGAGACAAGGTTCACAAAATGCATCAAATCCATGTTTTTGGACAAATTGAGGAAGCCCTCCTCACCTTACGAAAGCAAACTGGAGTCATTTTTGGAATTTGCGAATTCCCTTAATGGCTCCATAAGAATGACTGAACGTTTGAACCAAGAGTACTATTGGTAAAATCCTGTGTTGCTTAACGCGATTATTTTAAAGTTGTCCTGGTAGCTGCTTATATTAGTGAGGACGTAGATCGAGAAGTGAAATCCAAGGAAAAGTCACCAAAGAATAACCTAAACAAGTTGGAAATCTTGTTCTAAGGGTGGGCACTAAAGTTAAACTAAGATCATTTCCGGTCCAGCTGCGAGGACCTAATGGCGTTGTAATAACAACGGCCTTGTTCGATGATGGCTCAATGACTAACTACAGTACGATCAATAATGAGTTGCTGCGCCGCTTCAATAAATTATGACGTAATCATTTGCCGCAACAGGCGTGGTGCACCAATACTAAAACATAACCTTAAACTTCAAACCAAAGTAAACTTTTGACGTTTAACCATATTTAATCTAAATCAACGATTTAAGCACCTTGTGAGTTTCCAAATTATGGGAAACTACTCAAATAGCAAATTACTACAAAAATTGAAACGAATTTATTTCTTTTACAACTCGTTAATATTGAAGTAATTGCGTAAATTACATGCACACTATAACAACTGTTCGAAGTGCTCGCCACCATTATTAAGACAGGGATCCACTCTTTTCTTCATGTTTTCGATGACGGAATGTAACTACAGTTGCATAATGTTTCAAACGGCAGCTTTTATACCTGTTCGTAATTCGGCAATGGTGTGTAAACGGTTCCGAATGTGTTGCAATCTCGTAAATTTGCATTAAACCCATTGCATGCAATAATTTACACGGTTTTGTAAATGTGGACGATGAGTTTCTGGAAACTCCTGTATACACAAACGTATCGAGTACTCTCAAACTCAATTTTCGTCTTTAGTCCCATTACGGAAACAGGACTGCAAATGCATCTTATTCTCTTCTAAAGTAAAAGGCATGTCGGAGTAAACCTATTACCTTTTACAAGCTACAACTAAAAAAACGTTTGTTTATAATTTATAAGTAATTTACCCACCTTGTAAATATTCGAAAGAAACTGGTAGTCTTTAAAAACGTCCTTTTGAACAGGATGAAAGTAATAAAAATTATAGGTTATGTTTTGTATTGGTGCACATATACCTGGTTGCGGCAAATGATTACTAATGTGATATTTTATAAGAGCGGCGCAGCATATGATTATTGATCTCCCTGTATAACGTTTAACGTTAACGTTTGAGACTTCTATTTATTTTGAAAGTCAGCATACGCTATCCAAGACATGTTTAATTCTATTTGATAAGCTTAAATGCGTGGTATGTTATTCAGAATTTGAATGATACACTGGATGTGACGTACCCACTACCACAGAGTAGCGACTCGAAACGAAGCCAAGGAATCGCAAACTTGGAAGTGGTCAGAGAGGTAGAAGATGAGCACTTTCGTCTCGAAGGAGTACAAGCAAATCCTGATAAGGCAATATTCATCTCGTATCATTCCAATAGAATGTATTGAGGCACCAATAAAGAACGCTCCATGAGTATTCAAGGTGTAAGTTAGGATGATGGGACAGTTCATGGTCCAAACCCTAGCAAGGCAAGCACAAATGAGATTTCCATATTCATGGCTGACAAAGAAACCCCAATGGAAGAAATGATGTCAAGAATGACTGGCCGCAGTCAAAGGAAGACAAGCGTGCGGAGCAGAGAGCTAACCACAAGGCTTGTGGATGTCATCAAAGTTCATGCAGCTGCCAGATTTTAAATTTGCTCCTGGGTTTCAAACTCTCAAAAGGTTATCGGTGCCGTTGAGAGACTAGAGGATGTATTCACATTCTCACTGAAGTTCAGCAAGCTACCTGAGGCTCTAGCAGATGGGAAACGAATGTCAACCAAGCGAGAATTGTCGAGTGTCGTCATGTCAGTGTTCGACCCTCTTGGCTTTGTGGGGCAGTTCGTGGTCCAGGAAAAAATTCAAAATAAGAGTAGGATGGGATGAACCTATGCCGCAGAGCCTCTGGATGAACTGGTTTGCTGGGGATAGAGGACGTAAAGAGAACATGTATCCACAGACACCAGCGAACAAGCATTTGATGCTCTTGTACAAAGCCATTACGATTAAGAAGCAAGGAGCAAAGTTCTTCCAAGGATTGGCACTAGGTTCCGACTTTCGAGAATGTAGCTGATGATGGATGATGCCAAGTGATTTTAGTTATATGAATCTAAATGGCTACAGGGCCCAGAGAAAACCCAAAACTAGAATCAGAAAGGATACCATCAGGATTCTTAGTGAGCTTTCGAGGTATTGGTTTATGAGAACATAGAAGCAACCATGTCAGACAAGAAAGTAGGAGTTATAAAATCCTAAATCGTTGATGTTGATCCATTTGGTAGCTACACTATCAACAAAAATAGTATGTGGGCCCAAATGGAGAACTATGTGAAGATTTGTTCACACTCCTCCAATATCTAACATTCAACGTTCTTGAGCAGGAGACAAATTGTATGAAGCAATACAGAAATGAACCAAACTTTTATTAAAAACCATGGTCATAACCACTTCTGATGATTATGATGGAATGACTGCAACGAGTTATGTGTCAGAAGAGTTATCTTGTTGCTTTCTAAATCAAGGTGCATACAAAACATTCAACACACTGGTTCGGAGAAATCATCATCAACTTTATTCTGTTATATGGCCTGTAGAAAAAGTACATACTGTTATTATGAATACAACAATGTATGGTACACAAAAAAAAACAAAAGTTTGTTTCAACAGGATGGTGCACCCGCGCACACCGCCCTAATAGCAAGAGAATTTTGTTCTGGTGGTTTCAAATGTGTTTAATTTTTTCCTTGAAAAATCCTACGTTTGATATAGTACAATTAAAATGTTTCATACAGTATAGCAACTTGAACATGGTGCTAACTGGTAAATATTCACATTGCAGCACCTTAACACCATTAATTATATTTGAGTTAATCAAGCTTCTCATACCTATAGTATGAACCTATATTTTCACACCAAGCACAATTAGGGGCGAACAAAGACACAGTTTCTACAACAGCTATTGTTATTGCATTAGCAATTAGAAACAAAGCACTGCGAGTCAAGCAGTACCTGGGGTGTTCCTTTTCGTGCATCTAGTTCAGCTTTGTAGTTCTACAAATACAAATGCAAAAACGATCAATCATAACCATATCAAACAAATCCATTAGATCTACTAGTCCTATTTTTTTATAAATGCTAATAATACTAAAGGCAACCATGCATCTCATTTACACAATAAATTGGAATACATCAAACTCATAGAAGTCCTCAGAAATTCGTATGATCAATAAATGTTAACATGCGTACATTTGAATTTGACAATGCAACTACTCACTACTGTGCAAAATGTATGTAGGCTCGAGTTTGAAATGTAATTGTTATTATTATTATTTATCAAGTGAATGTCTGTTTTTGAGTGTAATGTACTATTTTGAAACCAATTGTAAAATGTGCAAGCCATGTCACAGATCGTCACTTTGTATACATTTCTGACGAGTGTTATGCCAAGACCTACTTTCAGGTAAATATTTTGAGACTACATAAGTCTAAAGTTATCTAAATTCTGAAATTATGTGCAAGAAGATTCGCGATAGCATATCCTGACAATTATCGATTATTGACGGTGTGAACACTTATAGTAGTCATAATTTGCTACCAATTTTGCATATAGTATGACAATCTTTCGATAGGCTTTTTTAAAATAAATATACAAGGTGTCTCATAATTTGTCAAAAACCAAATTGGCCGAATAAATAAGACCATATCTCCATTCGTCCACCTACTACTT